CACGAAGAGTCGGACACGACTAAACAACAACAACAACAACAACAACGTTCCTTTTTTACTTCTGAAGGGTGAAGAATGAACAACGCTTCCCTTCATTATCTTAAAGACAGAAAGTATTCCTGTAAGCTGTGTTTGTTCATGCCAGAAGCAATCTAATAGTGTTTCTGGGGTGCAAGAATTGACCAACGGGGAGCTGCTATTGCCCAGGGGATGTTAGACTGTGATCAGCCTTCACATTCTTCTGGTAGGTTTATTATTTGTCTCCCTTTGTATAGGTGTATATTCCCTTTAGCACCATTTTTCATACCTCAAACAGGCAGGATGCCATAAAAAGCTTGCTTTCTGAGACTCAAGACCCAAATGAATAGGTTCAAAGAATAAGATTTTACAACTCTGTCCAGTTATTAGTTTTATTTCATTTTTAATTTTCATTATTGCTCTCACACCTTCTGTCTTATATGGTTAGATTATTATATCATATATACTTGCGGCGATCAACCTTCTAGCCCCTGTTTTATTTGGTCCTTACAAAGGCTCACACCCTTTTTCCTTCATGCTGCCACCAGGTATTCTCCTAATACCATTTATGTTATACATGTGTGCTGCCAAAACTAAGAGTTATTGAACTTAGGAATCAGAGATTTAATTTAAAAAAATATTCTTTTATTGTCAAGTAAATCATAAACACCATATGAGCTTACCAATCAGGATACTGGGATGATGCAATCTTAATGATATACAGGCCACATGTATATGAAGCTACCTCCTCCAAATGCACTAATATTCAGATCCAGTGGGATGCAGACATTTGGGGCAAAACAGAAAGTAAATCAATACAAACTCGAAAGCATTGTAACATGACCTATTGGCTTGCACCATCAAAAAGGACAGACTGCCACATTCTGCATGACCTGCAGTATTAAACAGTCTCCTCTTCAAGAGAAGCTTCACAGAACACAACACAGTGGCAGCCTCCTTTACTGCAGAGCTGGTTGAAATGAAATAATTGGATGTGCTTAAAAATACTCTCTCCACTACAAAGAAGAGGAAGGTCAGCCACATAGTGTAACATTTGGTTAGAGATCATGACTTCGGGGGTGGGGGGGAATCTTTGCAACAAGAACAACTGACTTTTGTCCTAACAAATTTTATTGGCTGCTAGCCCATACTTTTCATAAAGCACAAATAACAGTGTTCTTTGAATAGGAGAACTGTCAAGCAAAGGCTGCCAAAAATGGAGGACGACAATCCAAGAAAACGAGCAGGCCTTTTATACAAGACCAGAGGAACAGTAAGGGTTTTTACTAAGAAATCGTCCAGCGTATCTAACTGCATTTAGACAACAGCTTAAAGGTATTTTATTCTACTAGAGAGTGATGGAACATGCTGCTGAAGTCACACAGGAAGTCACATATGAAGTCTTAAAACCTGGCCAAGACAGCCTTAACATTTACAAAATATTCCTACTTTGTATTTTTTTCCAAGAGCATTCTCTTGAGAGAAATCCTACTTCATATGAAAAGAACACATATCCAGCGCTTCACAAGTAACATCTCTCTCTTTCACTATGGTGAAATATTCAAGAATTTGGCATAAATCTGCTTTTCCATACTTTGTCTCATGCACATACCAGTAAAAATAAACACAAGCAAATAGAGCCCAAAGCAGAACAGTATAAATGTCTTCCCAAAAGTCACATTAAAATAAACTATCTCAGCAGACTCTTTAGAAAATATCTTCCAATACGAGGAAACATTTACAATGACTTGCTAAGTATATAACACACAGCACAATATCTAGTTAACAAAACCAACAGAATAATCTGTATAACATACTGTATATGTATTTATTGGCAAACTATAACAGACCAAACTGAAATTAAGTACACTCCAGAGTTTGATAAGGGACAAGGATAGGAGAGTTTATAAACAACATCACATTGAGTTCCAAGTAATAGAGAGGGTCAAGTCTGGTAAATGTAAAACCACATTATTAATAGGCTTATTTTTTTTTAAAAAAATGTTAGGACAACTTACTAAATATCTCTCCTCTTGTCTCATGCTTGGGGTACGGATCATATGGTTCTGCTCCCCTCTCCAATCTCCAAAACGGCGAAAAAAATAGTTAGATAAAAAACGGTTGATGGGATCTCGGATAATATTGATGTATACTGGTTGGTCTCCTCCAAACCTGGCAAAGAGAAATAAAACAAACACTTGAAGACTGGTGAGAATCAATTCAAAAATGTAAAAAAACAATGGCTGAAGAGATGAGTTGCTTGATTTATAAAACAAAACAAAAAAACCCAATGAGAATTAAACAATGCGATACTGTTTCTGAAGCTAAGCAATTAATGTGTTTTTCCACTTGAAGACTAACCAAGTTCAATGTAAATGGCAGTTTTATCCGTACTAATGAATTCAATACTGTATATTCTGTAGGGACTCTCCAGAGAAAGTCTTATCTTATTGAAGACAAGGCAGAGTTGCAAGCTTGAGTTTAATCAAGCATTGGTATAGTACATATTCTGTTTTGAGGCCCTGTTATTATGAAAGTAATAGGCAGCATATGACCCTACAGACTGTTTCAGTGACCATGTTTTATAAACACACACACACACACAGTTTCTATGAACGGTTTTCAGTGGTCTTGCATCCACACATAATATTAACTGGGTTCACATCTGTTTGTCTTTGAAATACTACTAAATCTGGACTTCCTAAACCATCCACTGAATCCACAGAAATCACAGTTAAAATCAAAAGTGGATCTGAAACAGTAAATCGCTGCAAAAATATTGATGCTTGTACTTTCCAAATATTTTCTCTAGTCTTTCTTGTGTTGGAAAAAGGAAATATATACTTCAATTTATGAATTCTCATAGAAAGGGATCAGTGAACTGTTGACATAAAGAATGAGCAGTGTTCTTGCATTTGGAAACAAAAATCCATATACAGTAGAATAAAATACAGAAATCAAGTGACAAAGCACTATAACAAATGCATACATGAAATAATCTGCACAGCAAGACAATAAATAATATATCAAATTGATTTCCAGGTTCATCATAATATGCAGGTCTGAGATCTTAAGCACAATTGTTTGAAAGTTCCTCTGGCCTGTCAAACCACAAATAGGTTTAAAAGAACATGACCAGCCTACAGAAATAAGCTTGCTAGCCAGCTTCTTCCACATATGCTAAAGCTTGCAAGAGCTGATTGGGCATGAGAGTGGGAGAAGATGTAACAACTGTTCCATACAACCATAAAAAAGAAGCATTAGAAAGGTTTTTAGTTCTAATGACATCCACAAAGTAAGTGCTTGTATCAACAGAGTACTTGTCTTTAACGTTTTAACACTGTAACTTACCTGTGCCAACAAATTAACACACCTGTATTGATACAAGGTACAAATTCTACCCTGAGATAATTTAATTATGTGCATGCCATGAAGATTTCAAAATGTGGCCTCACTGCTAAGTTTTACAATATAGGCTTAACACATTGCTCAAATAAATAGAGATTTGATGAGAAAAGACACTGGGAAGGACAGCCTCTTAGAACCAAAACAACTGATTCCTTCAACATGGACAATACCAATAGTTTCTGTGACAAGGGATTTTTTAAGGAAGGATTTATGCCTACGTATAACACAGTATTATTACTGTTGAAGTCCTATCTACATTTACTTAGGAATAAATTTTGCTAAGCTCAGTGGCCAGAATTATACTGGGATTTTACTTTGTATTAAATAAAATAACTTCAAGAAAAATCAGGAAAAGGCCACATGGTTGTAAAAACAATATATGTAAATGCAGGAACAGGTGATACATTCAGTAGCAGCAACAAATGCATCAAACTAATACAGTGCTGGTAGCATGCCGGTCAGATGACCAGACAAACAGCCAGCACATTTTTAATCAACTGCAGTTCACCATCAGCACTTATATGCTTTAACTTCCTCCAAAGTAAAATTCCAGCAAGATTTTGGCCAGAGGGACTTTCTATCAAGTAAATATACATAGGACTGGAGGTCCAACACACTCTATGCATGTGGGTACATCAAAGAAAGTGACATATTAATAAAAGACAATTAATGAGACATCAATAAGCAATTTACTGGACAGCCCAGTGGTTTAGGTCTCTGGATGCCAAGTCATACGTTGGGAGTCTGATTCCTCACTGGGCCTCCTTGACAAGAACTGAACTCGATGATTCATAGGATACCTTCCAGCTCTGCAGTTCTAAGATGATGATGATGATTAAATTCAGTGCTAGCCAAATGTTACTTACTATCACTGCAGTGAACACCATTTTACAGCAGAGCATCATCATCATCATCAAATACCAGTTGCTATTGTTACTACAATAGCATCCATTTCTTTTCCTTGAGTTTCTTTACAAAAACAAAACAAATCCAAAAATTTGCTGCGGAGGCTTCCTGGCCTTCCAAAGCACCGGCAGCCAACGCGGCGGCCGGGCCATGTTGGAAGCCCGGGCCCTTTTCCTAACCATTCGGGCGAAGAAGCAGCCTCTTCACTACCAACTGTTTGAATTTCCCGCCCTTTCCCTCTGCCTTTTTCTTTTTGTAATTGAAGCTCCGGCCGCAAGTCGAAGCAAAATTTTGCAGCCGTATCTTTTCATAAGTCGAAATTTTTTGTAAGTAGGGACGTTCGTAAGTCAAGGCTCCACTGTACCTAAGTACAGTATCTGTTAAATATCGGCGCAGAATGTATGCTGTTCCTAATATTGCCATTTTTTACAGTTCTGGTGGTGGTGTGATTTCTGAGATCTGCAACTGCTTCTTTTTGTTACTGTTACTGTTATTATTGCATATCAAATTCTTCAGTTTGAAATATTCCCTGGCCAGAGTGCTGTGGACAGTTTTTAAACTTCTGCTTTCTGGCATTAGCAATGATTCATTATTCTTCCGCTAGCATGAAATATTATAAGCTGTGTTTATGTGATTACCTGAACTGTTGAGGACTAGAAAATAAACTTCCATGTAGAAGGGCAGCTGCCTGACAAAACAAATCCTAAATCTTCTAACAACTTCAGCATCCTAAAGTATTAGCAACAGTATAACCAGCAAAACAAGATTGTTATTTTTAACCACAGGATGGAGGTTGGGACTCAGACTCCTAAGACACATACATATCTTTCAGCCAGTTTTCAAAAACTCCTTCTTTTTAATTTATTTTAACTCTTTGTCCTTCATGATTGTGGAGGACAATGTGTATAAGCCAAAAAAGGTTATCGCACGTGTTTTTCTAGTCCAAGTCTCTAATTCCATTTGCAAAAACTGTCAATCAATGCATATTTAAAAAATATTACTGCAATTCATCAAAAGTTTAATGTATCATATGGAGTACCTTAGGTTCTCCACTGATCTGAATGGAGTAATCAAAATTAAACTTACTTGTGAGTTATATGAGACTTTTCCACAGATTCTCATTGGTGAGAATCTCATACATGGGCAGGATGGCATTCTGATTTCACAGAAATTGTCAAGGGCAGACTCCACAGTGTTAAGCCAATTTTATCTTACAAAAAGAAGCCCAGACAGAAGCCATGACTTGCCTACCCATGATGGCATATTTATGACTATTAATTTACTCCAGCTAACCACATCATAAATTACTTTATCCAACCATGCTTTTGAATGCTACATTTATAACAATGCCTTAAAATCACTCAGTAACAGAACCAAGTCACACATAACACACACTTAAGTACAATAGTAGCAGTTTCCATGTACAGTGGTGCCTCGCAAGACAAATGCCTCACAGGTCAAAAAACTCGCAAGACAAATGGTTTTGGCAATGGGGGGGTGGGGGGTGTTGATGACTCGCAAGACAAGTGTTCCTTTGGTCGTGCTTCGCAAGACAAATGTTTTCCATTTTTTTTGTTCTTGCCTCATGTTTGCTGATTTTTAAATTTTTTTCTATGATGTTTAAAAAGGTAAAGTTTTTTGACTGAATTTTTAAAAATCATCTGCACAATATGTATGGCTTTAAAGTGCACTTAATAAACCCTTTGTAAACAAAATCTGACTTTGTTCTGACTTTTTTTGCCCATAGGAACACATTAATTAGATTTCAATGCATTCCTATGGGAAAACGTGTTTTGCAAGATGATTTTTTCGCAAGACAACATTAACTGCGGAACGAATTAAATTTCTCTTGGGAGGCACCACTGTATTAATCATGCATGCATCTGTTTTGCTTAAAGAGGAAATTCTTTTTTAGAAAAAGCTTCAGCATTACCTCAACATTGTCCAAGGGAGACAAGTTTTAATTTGAAAGCAAATATTCAAGGCAATAAAAAATATTAATAATAAATAAATAAAATCCATACTTAGCTGAGCATAAATAGTGTTGAAATTTAGTCACAACTTCCCAATTACAGTATCAGTTAAGCAGGAGAAGAGCAACATACTTATTTTTTGTTTGCATTTTCTACTAAGTGAAGTGCTTTCTCGAGAAGTCCAAAGGTTTTGGTAGTTAGTGTCTTGATATATGAACATTTTGTATGTAAATTTAGGAAATGAGGTTGAAATACGAACAGGTTTACTTAGCTTTTGCAACCAATCAGCTTCCACACAAGTAAGGCAAAATCAGCACTCTAATAATGCTTATGTAAGCTATCAGCCATACAAAGTAAACATACGACTAAACCAGAGAAAACAGTGCAGTGCAGAAGGAGGAGGAGAAAAGAACATGCAAGGCAAAGGCTCATGCAAGTTTGCTTTTAATTAGAGAATTAAGTTTCCCATTAAGTTGGAAGTAAGCCACTGAGTACTATATACTGTTTTTTAAAACATGAACCAAGATGAACACCTCTTGCTGCTTGAGGCCACATGCTTTTATCCTTGACAAGCTGACATCTGAAACAACTACCCAACTGTTGCCTGAAAAGGAAATGCCCAATGCAATTGCTGTTAGCCAATGGCTAATGCATGTTTTGTTGCAGCTGTTATAGCAAACTACCATATTTTCTGTGTATAAGACTCCCCCATGTATAAGACAGCCCCAATTTTCTAACCCAAATATTCACAATATTTTAAACATTAGAATGGAACCATTTTTAATTTAGTAATTAGACAACATTTACATGCCAGTACTATAATATTATGCATCACTCTTATCGGTCACTGTCGTACTGCCTACACCAGTGAGGGCTGAGCCCAAG